CACTGCAAGTTGAATGGGAATAGAGATATCATGATAAATAAATTAGAAGGACAAAGACAAATATCAGTTGATCTTGCTCATGTATGAAATATAAAGAAACAATGTAGGGGGATAGTAATAGTCAATGAGAATAAATATACCTACAGAAATGAATTGATAGGGAAGGGGGGAGTGAATGAGAAGGGTCAGGTGTTGGAAAGATTTGGGCACGTTGGTCATATGTGTGGTGCAGTAACATTGTATTCCTAAAACACTGTCACTGTCACTGTCGTCCCGTTGTTCACTGATTTGCTCGAGCAGGCCCAGTGACATTGTGAGACTTGTTACTGTGTTTTGGCATATTGAATACATCACGGGTAGCTAAAACACAAATATTAATATTATTATAAATGTTTAAAAGTTTTAAATCTAGAAGTGGGACTTATATGTGGAAAGTCTCTGAGTTGTACAAATAGTGTCCCTGGAGAATTTTATTGATGACCCACTGTCATCCTGTTGGTCATCGATTGCCTCAAGCAGGCCCCAGTAATATCTCCTTCATCCTAGCCCTGAGATTTTAAAAAGTGCCACATTCGAGGCTTTTTCAGGGTCAAGAGAATGAGACTCATCATTGTTACTGGTTTTTGGCATACTGAATACGCCACGGGGAGTTTGCCAGACTCTGCCGTGTGGGCAGCATACTTTTGGTAGACTGCCAGGTTCTCCAGAGTATGATGACCCAAATCCAAAAAAAAAATATGTAGCACATAATAGGAACTTGATAAACATTTTCTGGAGAAGAATCCATCTGATGTAAGAAAAAACACTGTCTTTTTCCGAGTACTACCAGACGTGAGCCCTGAGCACAATTGAGTGTGACTCCAAAACTCCAAAATGGAAAACAAAAGGAAAGAAAAAACAAGAATGAGAGATGAAAGAAACAAAAGGAAATTTTAAGAAAAATGAAAGAAAGGGAGAAAGAGAGAAAAAGAAAGAAAAAGGAAAAAAGAAAGGAAGAAAGTAAGGAAATAAGGAAGAAAAAAGGAAGGAAGGAAGGAAGGAAGGAAGGAAGGAAGGAAGGAAGGAAGGAAGGAAGAAAAATGCCTTCCAATCAAAGAAGTCACGGTCCTCCCGTTGTTCATCGATTTGCTCGAGTGGTCCCAGTAACATCTCCCTTGGAGACTTTGTTGTTACTGTGTTTGGCATATCGAGCACGTCATGGGTAGCTTGCCAGGCTCTGCCAAGCGGGCGAGATACTCTCAGTAGCTTGCCAGGCTCTCCGAGAGGGGCAGAGGAATCGAACTCGGGTCGGCCATATTGGCTGCTTGCAAGGCAAACGCCCTACAGCTGTGTTATCGCTCCAGCCCAAAGAAGGAGATTAGTCAAAAATTCAGGGGAAGGGGCCAAAGGGGTGGATGATGCCAAGTGGGAAAGGCACTGAGGAAGATGGGAGAAATTGGAAAGAAGTCAGCCTGTTGAACCTGAATCAAATCTAAAATTCTAGCTTAAGGATTTTTTATGTTATTTATCTTTTGAATTCTAATTTTTCATCAAGTATAGCTTTTAGGTAAAGACAGGAAAGGAGAAGTCTGATGTACATAATATAAAACTAATTTGACACTTCTCTCTTATTGTCACACCTTGCAATGCTCAGGGGTTACTCCTGGCTCTGCACTTAGGAATCACTCCTAGGTGGCTTGGGGGGAACATATGGTATGCTGGGGATCAAAGGTGGTTGGCTGCCTGCATATGAGACAAGTGCCCTACCTGCTGTATTATCTCTGGTCCTTTTTCCTAGACTTGAACATTTGTTGGTACAGCTCAGTGTCTTTGTTTTTTTTTATTATTCCTGGTTGAGTGATGGTGGTGGTGGTGCTGTGTTTGTGTGTGTGTGTGATTGTGAGTGTGAGTGAGTGTGTGTGTGTGTGTGTGTTTCCAGCTTCTCACAGTCCTGATGCTGAGACATCTCTCTCCCAAACTGAGCTTTAGTAGTAGTAGTAGAGTAGTCAGAGAGAGTGGAGATCCCTTGGTGTTTATAGGCGTCCTCTGCAGGGTGAGACTCTGGCTACTTGTAACTTGAGAAAGTCTCTTGCCACCAATTTATCTTTCTTTAAATCCCCATGTGGAACCAATATTAACTAGAGATGAATGGCTTGTTTGCTGCTCTGATCTAACTATCTGCACTGTGATGACCAGTATGGGATTCTGGACAAACAGGTAGGCTACCTGATGGGGATGCTGTGTCCACCCCACCTTCCATTGCCCCGTGTTTATTGATACTGGACTGGGCAGTTGCAGTGTGGAGGTAGTGTGGGACTCCCAAGTGTGATTTTTCTTAGTATTACTATTCTAGCTGAATAAAATTCTCCTTTTAATTAATTATTCTCACGATTAAATTGGGCTGAAGTATACAATCCACATACAGATATTTCCATATACATTTACAGATCACATGGTTAAGAGACCATTAATTATGTTTATCACTGCATCTAAATAATAAGGATGGTAACATTGTTAGACCATGTCCTGAATATTTCACTGATTATGCCTTATTTATTAAACTGACTCCTGAAAGTAACAGCAAAGAAATGAGATTTGGATTGTAACAGTCCAAAGATAGTTAAAGAAAATAGGTTTTTCTTAGAAAAATATGTTTATGTTTAAGAGGGAAATGGAGGTTTTGGATTGACGAGGCATGAAGGCATGAGATGATTATTTCTTCAAAACACTGCGTAGTTCTATGCCAACAGAGGGCTTCACTTATAACACTCAGAAGATGTAGTAGGTTGTAATAGATACAGAGGCATATATCCTTTTATTTTATTTTTAGGATAAATTCCTTTTATTACATAATATTAAGTAGTCATGCTCAATCAACAAGGTCATCAGGAACTTGTAAATTTTCTGCTAATAACATAGTCCATTTTTGGCATGATATAATATGAAAATGTTCATTTTCTTTATAATCTTGCAAACGAGAGAATAAATAAAGACACTAACATACAAGAACTTCATTTCCTTTAGCAGTTAAGATTAAAAGAGGTTAACTTATATTTATTGTAAGCCAAAGATTTTCCCTGACCCTACTAACAAACTAGCTCTTGGTTAGAGAAATGAGAGAGAGGATACAGGAAAAAGCACCCCCTGGATTCCCCAATGGTCTATTTGGGGTGTTTTTGTGAACTTTAGCTCATTATAATAAGACTAGTCAAAATTGAAAACATTCTAATCAAAATGGGTCTGCACATGCCTTTCTAGCCATAGTCAGGAGGGAACTGCACGCTGCACATCAGGAACACCATCCAGTGTCTCTTGACTTGTTCTTCAAATTTGCCCTAATCAACTGGGAGAGAACATCAATTCGCAGAGGGGACACTTTTTGTCAAAACTGGAATCAAAGCTGGAATTAAACCAAAAGACTGTCCTATGACCATGAAAATGCTGACTTGAAGGGTCAGGAATAATGGGCATATATATATATATATTTTAATAAATATTTTTATTTTATTTTTTCTTTGGGGGTCATATCCAGCACTGCTCAGGGCTGACTCCTGCTATGCTCAGGGATCACACCTGGTGGCACTTTGGGAACCAAATGAGATGGTGGGGATTGAGTCTGAGTTGGGGGCCTACAAGACAAACTTCCTTCCCACTGTACTATTGCCCTGGTTCCTCCTTTAAAATATATATTTTAAGCAAAGCATCTTTTCGCACAAATTTTGGCAGAAATTCAGTCAGAGTGAGAAATTCAGTCAGAGTGAGGTGGACAGGGTATCTTCAAATGCAAATATAATTTGATGACACAAAGAATTTTAAAAAGTAGAATTGAACATTGAACAAGAGGTAAGCTTGGATATAGTCTCATGTTCCATTTAACTGCATAGCTAATGATTCAGACTTAAAATTTCTCTGGTCACCTCCTGCTGTGTAGAGCTGGTGTTGGCCAAACACTCACATCCTTAGTAAGCACTCATCATTGTGCTTTAACCGAATTCTGACCTAGAGATCTAAATGATGTTAAACAAAAAGAAACAATAAAGGAAGTAGGTAGATTTTAGATGATTCTTTAAAACGCATGGTACAAATGCTACTTTACAGAACATAAAAGCAATTGTAGTGATAATACAAGTCTTAAAACATTGCTCTTATAGAAATATTATAAATTCTTAAAAATACTTTCTGGCATATTCAGATATGAAGAGAAAATACACAAGTAGTAAAGAGAAGAGACATGAATAAAATAGATATCTTTTTGCTAACTGGTGAATGGAATGATTTTCAAATAGAAGGTGGATATTTAAAATGAAGAAAGAAAAAGAAAACATACAGAGATTCTTTTATTGTAATCCAGAAAAACAATATATTTTTGACTCTAGTTTTTAGAGTCAAAAATCAACATTCTTTAGGATGGTTATTTGGAAAACTGTCCACAAAGTCTGAGAGCTTATTTAGAAAGTACTGTTTTTAAAATATATTTAGTGTGTAAATTAATTTTTATATTTTTGGTAGTTTTTGAGACAGGACATTTTCTTTGTGAATAGAGACCACTTTTGACAATGGCTCAGCCATTTGGGTTTTAAGGTTTGGTGCTGGCCTTGTGGGGTTCAGAGTGAATGTGTGGTCGTAGGTATTGAACTCAGGGTTTGGGCTTGATAGAAATATGATATATTATTGGAACTATCTCTCCAGTCCCATCCTGATTATGTGAGCACTCATCTGAATGTGACAATGATTTCATGCCATTCCATCCTCTTTCCACTTCTATGAATTATCCAATAGCAATAATTATCATTCTAACCAGATCATGATACTCCTCTCTATAGTCAGGGGAAGGTCAGCTATTTTTTGATCCCCAGGGGAGGCAGACAGTTCTTCAATCAGTATCCTAAAATAGCAGACCATTTTCAGCTGTTGAGCTGGAGTTCCCCCAGCAGAGAGCAAAGGGAATACAAACTCACTGTCTGGGCGTTAGCAAGAAGCCAGCAAAACAAGACCTAGGAGTGTAGGAGTGGTTTCTCAAAAAGATTTTGCCTAATCAAATCCTTTAATTTTATATATATATACATATACATATATATATAATACTTTTTTGCATTAAGAAGCTAGGTGTCTGCCATTTTTTATTTCTTTTTAATATTATATACAGGGAAATAGTGACTTGAGAATGAGACTGAATGTTGCCATCTTCTTTGGGGCTCTTTTTGGTGCTTTGGGGGTTTTACTCTTTTTGGTGGCCTTTGGATCGGACTATTGGCTTCTTGCAACTGAAGTGGGACGGTGTTCAGGTGAACAGAATGTGCGTTTCTTCAAAATATTTATGTAATTGATAACAAGAATAGCTGTATGCCTACTATTGAAAGCAGAGAAAAGTTGTGGAATCTTTATTTCTTCATTAAAAAAGATATCTAGAAAGCTACTGATCATTATTACTAGAAATAATGTATATTATTTAAAAAGTATTCTGGATGTTATAATTTAAATTATCTTCCTGTGCTGATGAAAAGTTACTTCATTCCTGTTTCATGCAGATAGAGAATATAACTTTCCATCATGAAGGATTCTTCTGGAGATGTTGGTTTCATGGGATTGTAGAAGAAAATAATTCTAATATCTGGAAGTTCTGGTACAGTAAGTGAAACTTACCCTTTGTCTTTAAAATAAAAATAATTTATTTAGTACATGTTACTTACAAAATAGAAATACATTCTTAATTATGGAAATAATAGGAAATCTTTAGAAAATTCATGAATAATTTCTTCTCTCTAAGCAGAAATGGCTATTTGAATAATTATTTTAATATAAAGAAGTCTGAATATTTATAGCAAACTACATTTTCCTTCCACATATTTAAAATATAACAGTCCTAGCAAACAGATATTACCTAAAATATTTTATTTATGATAGGTATATTTTAATGTTTAGCTAGAAGTTGTTGAAATATCAATTTAAAAATCATAAAGGTGCATTATTTTGTATTCATGACTTCAAAGCCAACATCTTTTTTGTAATAAAACTTAATTACTAGTGGTAGATGAAAGCTTGTTTTATTCAGGCCTTACCCAAGTTTGTGAACAATATCAATAAGTGCCTTTCTTTTTTGATGTTTTTATTCTTCTGCAGACATTTTGAAGTTCTCTTTTTGGTAATGGAGTGTTTAAAAATATGAGGCATTCTTTCAACTATATTTCCTATATTGTACAAATCATTGAGAATCAATTCACTTAAAACAATTGGTTATCTTGTTGTGTTCACCAAAAAAACTGTTTATTCCCCTAAAACTTATTTCTGTGGATCCTTATTAAATACTCTTGTGGTAAATCCGGTGTGTATAGATCACAGATGTAAACAAGGTGATAGCAAGTTGACAAGTGTAAAAGGGACATAAGAATGATAAAATGGCATTTTGAGAGGAATACTAGACTGAACATTTTATAGTCATTTGGGTTAGATAAATAAGTATACAATCTGCCAATAAAATTATTTGAAATATGTCAAAGTAAAATGTCATATTGTACAAGAGAGATTTTGTCATGAACTTAGAATTCAGGAGAATATTTTATTCTTTCTTAAAGGAAATATTATAAATCTTTAAGTAGTCAAACAGCAGCATTATTTTTGTGACTTAAATGCTAAAAATGTTTTCAAGTTAGTAACTTGTAAAATATATCATTAGCACCCCTTTCCTAAAAATTATGTATAAAAGTTTATATCAATTGTAACTCATCAAAAAGACAATCTAAATTCATAACATTTGTAAATAATTATTTTTATAATACTTTCTAAATATCAGGTCAGGAACTGAAGAAGTTTCTGAAAATAAGTGAAATGTGGTGTCTTCCATTTTAAGGTGACATTAAAGGGATTATCTATAATGAACTGTACAATGACTTGGATGTTTTGGAGAATTTACTGTTCTCTCAGTAACTTTATTTTAGGAAGTCTTATCCTTCATGCAACAATTTTATGAATTCATTCATTGAGCCTGCAGTTTTCTTTTGGCTGTGCATGATGTTGATCCTGTTTCAGTTTTCTTCTAGGATCTATACTCAGCTTCTCAATAACAAATTTGATTTCCTTTCTAGCCAATCAGCCTCAGACAAAGAACTGTACCCATGCTTACCTGTCTCCATATCCTTTCATGAGAGGAGAACACAATTCCACCTCCTATGACTCTGCACTCAGTAAGTAACTTTGCTTTAGTGGAAAATTGTTTTATGAAGAATGTCTACCACAGGTATTTTATGGACAAAATATTTTTTCTTATTAATTTTCTATCTATCAATGAACTAGATACCATTTCTAATGCACTATTTACTTTCTAATAGAATATGTAAATATTGAAAAGTAGTCTAAAAGTCTTAAAGTAAAGCCTAGACACCAGAGAGTTGATACAGGAGGTAAAGCAACCTTTCTTGCTTGAGACAAAATAGGTTACATCCCTGATTTATGTCCCAGTACTACATGTGGTTCCCCTGAGCACTGCTGTGGGGCAATCTGAGTATTGTCACTGTCACTGTCTCTGTCCTCTCGTTGTTCATCAATTTGCTTGAGCGGGCACAGTACCATTGTGAGACTTGTTGTTACTGTGTTTGGCATATCAAATACGTCATGGGGAGCTTGCCAGGCTTTACCGTGTGGGCCCAGGAAAGTCTACTGAGCACTGCTGGGTGTGTTCTTTCCCTTCAAACAAAAATTAAAAGTAAAGTCATTGTAATATGTTGTCATTTATAAAGACCATTTAGGGAGGGCTGTTTTCTAGCAGTGCTCAGGGAACCAGAAGACCATCCTGAACCATCAGCAAGCCTGGTGGTACTTGAAGAACCTCCAGGACCATGCACACCAGGGCTCCATGGTGCCAGGCACTGAGCTGGGTCACATGTATACTAGGGCTGCACATCAGGTCTCTGAACTTAATCTCTGGCCCCTAAATATCATTTTTAAGAAATGTTACTAGGTATGAAAATGCTGATTTTCATTGAAAATAACTACTTCTTAAGGATTAACTGATCTAAAAACTAATCTTACATGTTGAAAATATAGTCTTACATGTTGAAAATATAATAATGTGCCTTGATTAATACTTTTGTTGTTGTTGCATATAAGTTATCCAATTTCTACAAAGTGACTCAACTTGGTTGTCTTTGACACCTTATATGAGTATTGTCCTTAACTGGGAGTCATGATGATCTCTGCTCTTTTGCGTTGTCATACTATTCACTATAAAAGAAGCACGTGGACTAAGTTTCAACTGAAAGTAATAAATCTAGTTTTTTGTTTGTTTGCTTTGTTTGGAGCTACACCCAATAGTGCTCAGGGCTTTCTCTGTCTCCTTGCTCAGGGAGCACTTCTCGTGGTACTCAGAGAATCATGTAGGTGGTCCTGGGGATAGAACCCACATCAACTACATGCAAGGCAGACACCTTACAAACAGAACCATCTCTCTGACTCTTAAATCTGGTTTTATAATATGTATTTTGTCAGTCTAGTGTGTCAATTTTTATTTTCAACTAGTTCCATAGAATTTTTATTTACATGTTTATAAAATCCATAAACCTATGGATTGTTACAGACTTAATTTATGTTGAATACAGAGTTATTTTTTCAATTATAATAACATAATATTCTAGATAAAGTTAAGATTATCCAGAGAATTGCTTTAAGATGTGATCAAAGTTCATTTGTATAAATGACATCTTTTTGAATCAGATAAAAAAATTTCCAGAAATTAGTAACATAAGAGCTCAGTGTTATGGGAGGTTTGATTTTTACACCTATGTTAAAAATGTTAAATGTCTTACTCTGTAACAGATTGACTCATGTTCAAATGCCATTTTAAGTTTGTTTTTATGCATGGGAGTATTAGCTATAATTAGCTTCATGGTTTGTCTACATGACTAAGATGTTACCAAAAACTATTTTGATCCTTCAGATAATTTCCACATATGATTTGTTCATTAGCAAATGAGATTTTCTGTCCTTTAGTGTAAACACACAATTTATTTGAATAAATGTAAGAGTGAATACATGTTTTATTTTGTTGAAAGAGTTAATGTCACATAAAAAAGATAGTTAATGTGGAGACTTAAGTCAGGAAACCTGGATAGAATTTCATGTTGTGATCTCAGAGGAGATCCTCTGCATTCTGCCTTACTTATAGTGGACAGTCTGTCAACACTAATCACATGCAGTAGATACCTTTCAAGAAGCATTAAGACTAATACTAGACCAATAAACTGGGTAATATAGTGCAACCAAATTGAGATGTAAAATTAACTATTATGCAACTTAATTAAACTTTACATCATTTATCTATTTTCCCATCTTTCTGCAAGAATACATTTTCATAGTCTTTTTTTGGTTTGTCAAAGGATATAACATATGCTTATGCGTTGTCACTTACTTGACATTTTATGGAGAGAATGAGAGATTTGAGGGGGAAACTAGGGAACTGGCACATAGACATGTTTCTGTGTTTAAACATGAGGATGTTTATGTTCAAAAGAAGTGTCTTTGGCAGATTTTCATAACAAGCAATACAAAATAAATTATTTAGCATCTGCCTTTGGGGCAGGCTTGGGTGGTGGTGGTAGAATTCAAAATAGTGGTGGTGGAAAGATGTAATGATGGTGGCACTGGTGTGGAAATATTGAATGCAATAAATTATTGTGAACAAATTTGTAAATATTAAATAAATAAATAAATAAATAAATAAATAAAAGAGAGTTTGGGGTTGGAGGATAGTGCAGGATTTTAGGCACTTCCTTGCATGCAGAAATCTGGGTTCCATCCCCAGCACCATATACGGTGCCTGAACCCCATCAGAAGTGATCCCTGAGTACAGAGATGGGAGTAAGACCTGAGCACTGCTAAGTGTGGCCCCACAAACAAACAGAACTGGCTTTGGGTTTTGAAAAAGTGTGCAGTATGTGCTTTTTATTTAAAAATTGCTGGTGGTTTTCTATTCATATTTGTCAAAGTCTCTTGCATCATGGATGATGCTGGCCCTATTGCTGACAAAATAAGTTAAGACATAGGAAAAATGTGACAAACTGATAAACAAAATCATCAGGGAAAATGGAATCTTTTCTTCTTGTTTTTAATAATGAATGAATGAATGAATGAAGTCTATTAGAAGTCTATATAAGTTGGTTTACTAGAAATAGCATATGCATACATAATTAGTATCAGTATTATTCACACGCTGAGGTCCTGAGATGATAGACATATTGTATGTACTCTATCCCAGGGAATTTTAAGCCTTAGTTTTAGTATTGGCTAATAAAATCATAATTATATTTGAGTTATTCATTTTTCTCTCTTTTTTTAAAATCCAAGAGAAGGGCATAGATCTCATCAAAAGGAGTCTATCTAATCTAAAGTGTGTTTTATTTTAGTCCCTTATGCCACATAATCATTATTGGACCCCAGATCCACTATTTGAACTCAAATATATTTATAATTATTAGGTATAATACACTCACCAACTCATCTTGAGAACACTTAAAATATTGTTTATAAAACTCTAATAGCTATATCTTGGCCTGAAAAAATATTGAAAAAATGTCTTTGTTGTCTCTTGATTTTTTATAATCACACTTATGATTTTATTAGCAAATATTAAAATTAAATATGGTAGTATATGATATATCTGGAAAGACTAATGTAGGAGCGTGATGTTATTGATTTAATTTTTATTTTTATAATAATGAGATGAATACCCCACTAGAGCCATACTTTTATTTATCTGATCATTAATTTTGCATTAGTTTTGAATTTTTTACTGGTAACCTTAGAAATGACCGTGAATTAAATGACTCATTTAACTGTCATCTGGGGAGATGACTCAGGCACACTTTGTATGTAGACACTCCAGGTTCAGTCCTTGACCCTGGTTTGTTCTAAAGGCACTACAGGGAGTGACCCTTAAGCATTACCCCAGCAATGATCCCATGAGCACTGACAGGTGTAGTCAATAAAGAAAAGGAATTAATGTTAGTGCTTAATATTAAATTATATAAAATTTTGTTATGTGTCAGTGTTTTTTTTTATTGGACTTAAGCAAAAGAACAAATTAAGCGTGTTAGTTTTTCTACTAGTTGATCTGATTCTGACCCATGTATAGTATTGGGCATAATTGTGTTTTTCCTTTAACTTTAAAATATCTCAAGATTATATTTAAAAACTTTTTTAAATGTTCAGTTCTAGTTATTTGAATGATCTTCCATGTTTAGAGATGGCAACTTAAATTTTAGAACTGTTTCTGAGGTCACTGTCACTGTTATCCCGTTGTTCATCGATTTGCTTGAGTGGGCCCAGTAAGGTCTCCATTTTGAGACTTGCTGTTATTGTGTTTGGCATATTGAGTATGTCACGAGTAGCTTTCCAGGATTTGCCGTGTGGGTGAGATACTCTTGGTAGCTTGCCAGGCTCTCCGAGAGGGGCGGAGGAATTGAACCCGGTCGGTAGTCTTGTGTATTTATTGAAATACATGAAACGATTTCACTACTTTTAGGATCTAGTATGAATTTATGTTTTCTGGCTTGTTTCAGGCTTAAATTCATCACAGTTCATTTGGTATAGTGTGACAATGATGTACTGAACATAAGCTAATTTTCAAGATAATTCAACACCTGAATGAATCAATCATTTTTCCTCTATGTCTCCATAGCCTATGATCTTACTTCTATTAAAGCACTTATTATACTTAATTATAATTGTTCATTTAACACCTTTCATTATTTTTTAAAATTGAAATTACCTAAAGGCATGGTATGCAACTTGCTCAAAGTTATGACCTCAGAACTTGGCATAGTTCTTAATAGCCAGTAGACATTTAAATATGTGCTTAAGATGACAATACAAACAGTATTTTGAGTAATCAACTATATTTAATTTTTTTCTCCAAGTAAAACATTTTCATAAGATGTCATAAAAAAAAACTTGCAGGCTATCGAATGTAGCCTGCCCACAGGGCAGAGTCTGGCAAACTCCCCGTGGCGTACCAAATATGCCAAATACCAGTAACAATGATGGGTCTCATTCTCCTAAAGAGCCGTGAATATAATCTCAGGGCTAGGATGAAAGAGACGTTACTGGGGCCTGCTCGAGGCAATTGAAGATTAACAGGATGATGAAATGAAATGAAATGAAAACATTTTCAAACTTAAATTTCGTGACTATC